AACAGAAGCTGCTCTTCATATTAGTGACAAACTTTGGTGTTTTTTTGATGAGTTACTTTTAGATTTTTGCTTCTACTTTTCATTTAAAACAGGTTTCCATTCTCAGCAGGTTTCTAAGGTTCTTCTTATACACATTAAAGTTGTTAAACATCTGAGTGGCGCACTACTGCTACTAGTGGTGAGAAAGTGTATTGCACCTTATTCAAAATCAATGCGGTCCCATGACCCTCTGCAGCCCAAAGTTAAAAACTGTTGTTCTTTTGAGGCCCTCGGCCCACAGGTTAAGAATCTCTGTAAGGTTTACTAAACAGTTTCTTCTCATAACAGGATTCAGTGTAAAAAACTGGCATAAAAGGCAGCAGACAATGTGCCTTTTTTAGTTCTTTACTTTAAAAATAAAATCTTTTTCTATTTACTAACACAGGTACACCTTCTTCAAAGTGCTGCCTGGAGCTTATGACATCACAGCCTTCCACCCCTCTTGGACTCTGGAGCAGGTCAGCATAGTCGTCTCCGGGTTGCTGTTGGAGAATGTCATCATCACTACTGTGCTCCCTTTTTTTAAAATTCTGTTTGACTTCAGGATAGCACACTTCATTATTCACTTAGCTGCTGATCTGATAAGGTTTCCTGTCAGGTCAGCAGCGTTCGAGCTAATGATATCCAACACTAATCACATTGTTCCTGATAGGCCTATTATTCCACTCATGCTGGAACTTAGCGCAGCAACCTTTGCCATCCTCCCGCAGAGTAAAACCTCGGTGCTCGTCTCCAACGCCAACGCTCTGGCCACCGAGCACCTGGTGGTTGGAGGCTACAACGTCTCGGGGGAGGTCCGCAGTGATGGAGAGCCCATGAAGGAGGTCACCTTCCTCTTGTACTCAGCCACAGTCAGGAGAGAGGTAAAGCAGCCCGAGTGAAAAGAGCAGGGAAAAATCGTTCTGAAGTTTTCTGAGCTTCGTCTGCTCCACGTGATTTGAAAACGGCTCTTTTAATGAGTTAGTCTTAAAAAATAAACAGTATATTTGAAGAAATAAAAATCTTCAACATTTCATTATGTTTATAAGCAGTTATGTGTGTGAAATGATTGATTTCTTTAACCCCCCAGGACATCGCTGGCTGTAACATGTCCCCGGTGGAGGGTGCGGATCAGGAGGACAGCTCTCTGCTCTACCTGTGCAGCACTCTGTCCAGAGACGACGGCGTCTTCACGTTTCCCTCGCTCATCAGCGGCGAGTACACAGTGGTGAGTTCTTGTTTTCTCTCTGTGTTTATTTGCAAAAGCCAGAAGAAAAGCTGTACTTTTGATTTCATAGAGTTGTCATTTATCCACACTTTGTCTTCTGGCTAAATTAACTGCATGTTTGTGTAGCAGTGACAGTAGAGGCTGCACATTTTCAGCTGCAGTTTGTAATAAAACCACTAGATGTCGCCACATCACACATAGTAAAATTTAATTTGGAATCATGTACAAAAACCAATAATTTTCTACCACTTACCCCCTTTTCTGTGCTTATAGAGCAGCTGGACATAAGTATAAATGTTATTATACACCTGATTGTCTTCACTTTCCTCCAGGTGCCTTTCTACAGGGGAGAAAGGATCACCTTTGATGTTGCTCCATCGAGGATGAATTTCAAAGTGGAACACAACAGCTTGAAACTTGAGGTGAAGAGTTCAGTTAATGTCCTTTTTTAATGGCGTAGTCTTTTTTAAATACGAAGGAATGATTCAAACTGTTTGTGTTGCTGTGCGTGCAGCCCATCTTCCGTGTGATGGGTTTCTCTGTGATGGGTCGAGTCCTGAACAGTGCTGATGGGGAGGGGGTGTCGGACGCCACAGTGTCCCTCAACAATCAGATCAAAGGTAAACTACCTGAGCTGAATTTACTTAAAGATGTTTTAATTTAAATATATTTTAGAGCAAACATAAAAAACTAAAATCCGCACAGGAAAAGAGCAGTTTAGTGTAATTTTATCAACGCTAACATTTGACCTGCCTYGTCGTTTTCTTCTCAGTTGTCAGCAGGGAGGACGGTTCTTTCCGGTTGGAGAACATGACAGCAGGTGTCTACACCATCCGCATCAGCAAGGAGCTCATGTTCTTTGAGCCAATCACGGTGAAGATCGCCCCGAACACGCCCCAGCTTCCCGACATCATCACCGCAGGGTCCGCCGAGCGATTTAAAAATGATTAAATGTTGCTTCATCAACCACACGCTTGTTGCTTTCTCACTAACCCACCGTATAAACCCCTGTTGGTCCCACACAGGTTCAGTGTCTGTGGTCAGATCTCCATCAGCCGCCTGCCTGAGGGCATGAAGCAGCAGGGCCGCTACAAGGTCACTCTGACACACCRGGGCCAAGACAAGGCTTTCAGTCGGACCACCGACTCAGATCCTCAAGGGGCCTTCTGCTTTCAGGCCAAACCTGGAGACTACARCGTTCATGTAAGCTCAGATTTCTTGGAATTATTTATAACTTCACATACATGAGCCCTCAAACCATTTAAAGCTATCTGAAGCATTTTTTGTGACTAACTGGATCATAGACCAGTTCAGATCATAGATCAGTTCAGTACCATAGACAGTCTTATCAGTTTTAGTCGTTTACTTTAAACTGATAGAATCAGCAAGACTCTACTTAATGTGTCTCCCTTCAGCAGGATAAACATATAATTGTTTACATTTAAGGGTGCATTCATACCAGCCCTGTTTAGTCCACTTTAATCAAACCCTAGTTCATTTGCCTAAAAAAGTCTGTTTCGTTTGGGGGTACTACGGGACCCGATACCAGATTTGTTTCCAACTGTTTGTGCATAAATGTTCTAACCCAGTAGGAGGCGGTAATGCGCCGTAGACTGAATGCCAGCCACAAAAAACAAAACAAAACAAAAAAACAGAAGATGAAGACAGCGTTAGCTGAGCTGAACAAACTGCTTTAACCAGCAGGCTGGTTGTAGAGCAGGAGGTATGTCCAGGTGAACGAAGGTGACAGTAATAAGGCCTGGTGTTGTAGTACTTGAATCCGGTCTTGGTCTTAAGACYGGTCTCAAGACCACTYCTGATGGTCTTGGTCTTGTCTCGGTCTCGGACATTGAGGACTCTGAATTTTATTTCAATACCACAACTGTAGAAATATCACTAAATAGCCAGATTATTGGCCAGTTTATTAGTTAACATTCTTGCTTTCATTGGATTTAAAACATACTGATTCAAATCCAAACCTGACTCACTGCTATTTATGTATTTTTGTTACGGCTGTCACCCATCCCCACTGTCTTCACTCACACACACTCCAGGAAAGGAAGCAGTTGTTCTCTTGGGGTGGTAAAAGATCTCTTCAAAATTTTAAGTAAAAAAAAAGTTGGCTACATTATTCATAAATAATACCATTATAAAACAACAACCAGGAGAAAGCCTACAGCAACTTGTAAATTCTGCAGAGCTTCACTTTCAGAGACAATGGAGACAACTTTAAACTTTTACCATCGTTAACAATCTGCCTCTGTAGCAACATTCTTTCCTCTGCCCTCAAAAAAGGATTTTGTCAATATTAGCTCTACATATTAAGTTAGCTACAGTGTGGAAAAAATTCAGTCGACTTGTGTGAAAAACAACATTCTCATCTTCCTCTCACGCTGAGCTCATTGTTGAAGAGTGTTTGTTTGGCACATTTGACAAAAAGCCATTCAAATCTGAWGTCGTGACATGTTTTTGTGAAGAAGGAAGTTGTGTTCGGTGTCTTCTTCAGAGGTTTCCGTGTCGATRCCTTCAGTGGTTCTTAGTGCAGCGCCCCCGCAGGCGAGGTGGGGAACAGGTTCACAGGGTTTAGTTAGTTTGRCAAAGTGCAGTGTGAAAGTGAACCACGCCAGATGAAAATGTAAACAAATGTTGCAAATTTGGTCCCCAATCGAACCGAGTTTAGCGGACTTTCAGGTGTGAATACGACCTAAGAGGGACAAAGCTGAGGGTGAAATTAAGTCTTTAGATCTGAAAATAAAACACTTGACTGAGAACTTATTTGGTTTCTGCATATTACTCAGGATAAGTGTTGTTCTCAGAAGGATTGYGTATTTTAGGAGGTGATTGTGAACACTTAAGACAAATCAGTAGAAACAGGTAATTTCCCTGTTTGTTATTCAGTTGTTGCAGAAGTTTGTTTTCCGTGACCCACCTGGTGTTGATTTGACCTCTTCATGTTCAGGTATCTCTGCCTGAAGCGGAGATAAAAGCAGGCCTCGCTCTGCAGCCTCAGGCCCTCCAAGTGTCCCTGGTGGACCGGCCCCTCACAGACCTCCTCTTCACTCAGTTCATGGCTTCTGTCTCAGGAAAAGTTTACTGTCTCGGTAAGACTTGGCTTATTGTGCTTCATTGTTTTTAATGAAACAGATTTCTTTATATAAAGAACGGCACCCCGGCCTACGTTTCATCTTTAAACTAATTAGTGTTTCGTTTCCTCCCAGCTTCCTGCGATGATCTGTCTGTAACCCTGCAGCCTGTGAGTCGGCAGGGAGAGAGGAGGGCCGTGGCTCTGTCAGGCAGCAGCGACAGCCTCACATTCTCTTTCGACAATGTTTTACCAGGAAAATATAAAGGTGATTTAAGCTTTCGTGTGCGCTTTTATCCCCAGATTCTGTTTGCATTTGATTTTTTTATTTATTTACTTTTTAAGGCAGCCAAGCGTCGACCAAAAAGTAATTCCCTTGTCCAGYGTACGCCTTCATTTAAATATCACACTAATTATTCTCTATTGATCAAGAAGAAAATCAATTTGTAATTAACACTTTTGGATCATAACTGGTTTATACTTGCAGCTTTCTGGAGGCAGTGTGTATTTACATGCCTCTCGGAGCTTCATCTATCTATATCCTTCCTCACTTCACACAATCTGTTCTTTTTTTTCCCCCACAAGCTGTCAGCACACACATCTTTACTCTGTTTACAGCATTGCCAGTTCAGACTGATGGGATGCTCACTGTTCCTAAGTTTGTGTTCAAGAATGTGCAGCTTTAAGAACTTCTTTTGAGGAACCTATTATTTATTAATTTCTCTCCTCCGTTCCTCCCATCAGTGGGTATTTCTCACGAGGAGTGGTGCTGGAAACACAAGTCCTTGGAAATCGAGGTTCTGGACTCGGATGTGTCGGGGGTGGAGTTGAGACAGATCGGCTACATCCTGCGCTGCTCCCTGTCCCACGCCATCACTTTGGTCAGTAATCAGTTTGTTACAAGTGTCGCGTCAGAAGCTTCAGCTCAGTATCTGACAACATGGCCGAGCTGAAGCCATTCTAAGATCAGCCAGGTCGGCCATCTTGAAAGGCGTTGACTCTAAAACAGGGGTGGGCAATCTTGGTCCTCGAGGGCCGCAGCCCTACTTGTTTTACGTTTTTCCTGGCTCCAACACACCTGATTCAGACATTGATTTTCCTTCTAAGTTCTGCAGTATGGAGGACCGACACTGACATAATTATAAATAAAAGCAGAAATTTATAAATGAACCACTAAATAAATAAATACWCTTAAAATGCACCAATTCAATTAACAAAGAACTTCACCTCATGTTTTGTAATTTAATTCTCATTTAATTGATATGTTTCTAACAATTCAAATTTGACTGTTATTAAAAATATATATTTTTCAGTTTTCCCTTTTACTTGTACATACATTGGTCTCTTAAATGT